GGGACGGGCTGGGCTGGAAAGGGCTAACGCCGCGGGGCTCGGGGCATTGCCGCCCGGTCTGGGAGCGTTCTCCTTATTCCTGGGTGTTTCCTTCCCTTACCGTAGCTGCTCTGGGCGGTTGGACACGGTGACAGATACCAGACGTGATGTTTGTGTGCTGGGTGTGCACACTGGGCGTCAGTGAAGGTGTTTTCCTTTACAGGAGACTCAATGAGAGAGAGAGAATTGGAGAACTGGGAGCACCTGAAGTCTGGGGGCTCTCACCGAAGGTTCCTGACCCTGAGTAAGGCATATTCTTTCTTCTTTCTTTCGGTTTTTGATGATACTGATCATGTGTGAATTTTATTTACAAAAATGCCTTATCCCTGCACTAGTCCCATTGCCACAATTTCTCTTGTATCAGTTAATTTCTGCATCAGCGTAATGAGATTATTACTTCATTCTGCCAAATAATTCCAGCATACCAGTTATGCAATATGTGATTTATTGTAGAATAGGTGACCTATGTGTTGTGGTTATGAAAATTAGCTCTTTAATATTTTACTCCATTGGAAGTATTGACCCAAAATCTGCAAGCATGTGTTTGGTCATACTTGTATCTTTGGTCTTGAGTACTTGTAAATAAATACTTGAGTGCTTGTAAATAAATAAATTAACCTTGTGAATAGATTTTAAATAGTAAACCGCTGTTTTCATTCAGTTCCGATGAGCACACTCCAGTAGAAGATGAAGAGGCAAAATCTAAGAGTAGTTCTTCAGATTCCAGCTCAGAAGGTATTTTGTTTGTCTTACACAGCTTGTTTTGAAAATGGGAAGCTACTGCAGTCTGGAAGCTGCTGGTGTTGCTTGCAGGAGGTTCACTGGCTCTGGTGGGTGGCAGTGAGTGTGGTGGGCTCCAGTTCCAAGGAGAGCATGGGTTTGGGAAGATGGGGAAATGCAGATGGAGCTAGAAAATCTTTGATCGCTAATGTTATACTTTAAAAACATTCTAGAGGAAAAGAAGAAAAAGAAGAAGAAAAGAAAGAAGAAAAAACGTAAGGCATCCAAAAGAAAGCGCAGGAAACATTCTGAGGACAGCGACAGTGAATCGGAGTCAGAGCAGAACTCCAGTGGTAAGACAAGAGAGTTGGGGCTGATGTGTGAGACCTGAAAGCAAAGCAACACTTGTGGCTTTTCTTGCATGCTGGCAGTGTTCTGAAATCAGAGCTGCACCATCAATCTAGTGCTCTTTCACCATCTTGCTGGGCTGGCAATGCTTTTCCCTTGAGTGCTTGCAGCCTAAGAAATAGGGTTTCTGAGTTCAGCATCCATTGGGCTGAATCCAGAGGTCTGTTGATGTGTTCTCCTCTTGATCAGTGCTGCAGGAAGCTTTCTGCTGACACTCTCTTGGTATTGTTTGGCACCTGAACAGCCACATCTGAGAAGCTGTGTGCTAGGGCATTCTGGGGGAGGCAGTGATTCACAGTGAAATAAATTACCTTATTGCAGCTAATCGTCTCTCTTGGATAATACATATGCTTTCTTCTTTTCAGATGAAGATAAAAAGAAAAGCAAGAAGAAGAAAAAGAAGAGTAGGAAGTAAGTGTCCAGGTTGCTGTGTGTTATTCTGGCTGCCGTTGGCTGGGTGCAGCTCTGCTTTCTCTGCAGGCCCTGAGGGAGCCTGAGCACTCTGGGAATTAATAGTAATCTTAATTTAATGGATTTTTTTAAAATCCACCAAACTATGCAGCATAGACAACTCCCTGCAAGCATAGGGAGCCGCTTTCTAACACTTTATAAAAGGCATAACAGTGTATATATTGTCCTGGCTTCACTGTAAGGTGTTCTCTATGAAACAGTAACCACCTATATGCAGACAGCCAGTCTTGCCATAGGTGAAAGTTGCCTTGAGAAACTCATTATTTGAGTATGATTCCAAACAAATTTTGGTAAATAGGATTTCTGTCTGACTTTGTCACAGGAAGAAATATAAGAAGAAGAAAACTAAGAAGAGCAGGAAGGAATCCAGTGATTCAAGCAGTGAAGATTCCGATGATGAAACGCTTCAAGGGGAAGAACTCTGGATTGAGAGATCAAGTAGGTTCACATGACTTCAAACTTGGATTAAAACTTCTTGGTGTCCTCTTCGTGAATTCTTTTTTAGATGTTGCTGACCTGTGTAACACTTCTGATAATGAAGAACAACAGCCACAATATTAATCTTCCTCCTTATTTGATTATTGCAGAAAATACCGAAGCTGATAGCTTGATTGGACCAGAGGCTCCCAAAACTCATGCATCTCAGGATGACAGGCCTTTGAAGTGAGTAGCCAGCTCTAACAGTACTTTGACCAAATCAGGTGAATCAGGCATGAGCATCACTGTTCAAAAGGGCTGTTATAACACTATGGCATGCAGCAGGGAGAAATGCTGTGCCAGAGACTCAGAGACAGAAGTGCTAATAGTGCTAGCCTTTCCCCTGGCCTGAATTTGGGTGGAAAATTCTGGTTTATGCTTTTTAGCGATGATTCCTAGAAAATAAATTGCAATTTATTCTGCAGTATTGTGACTTTAGAGTGTCTTTATTACTGCTTGATCAGAATGGACTGAGCTGGTGATTTAAGATGTTGCTTGTGTTAGCCATAAGGGAGAAACAGGCCAATATGTGGGAATGAATAAAAACGTGTTTAAAAATGCAGCTGTGTCTGGTAGAGGACAGGGATGTTTAGCTCAGGCTCTCCAAGACTGATTGAAATCACCCCTTTATTTTTAGCTATGGACATGCCCTCCTGCCTGGGGAAGGTGCAGCGATGGCAGAGTATGTGAAAGCAGGAAAACGTATACCCCGGAGAGGTGAAATTGGTTTGACCAGTGAAGAGATCGCATCGTTTGAGAGCTCTGGTTATGTCATGAGTGGCAGCAGGTATGGTTTTGATGATGGTAATGGTTCAGGAGCTGCTCTGTCTGTTGGCTGATTGGAAGACTGATTCCAAGCTCTGGTTGGAAGCACGGAAGAGAAAGTGCTCTCTGTGCTTGCAGTAATCTGCACTAAACTCCCCGTTGCTATAGATGGTGAATTTTTCAAGCATGCTTTCTCCTCGAGGGCAAAAGTTCTTTCCAGGCCACGTGCTTCTAATTATCTTTATTTCAAATGAGGAGATGCTTGTGTCAGCTGGCTCAAAGGTGGTGTGTTTGGACAGCCCTGGTGACATGCTGGCTCTTCAGCAGGGGATAAACCAAAGTGTGAGAGGTTGGCTGCACATTTTTCCTCTGAGTCCAACAGGAATTTCATTTAAATTCTGGTGAGCCAGCAGCTGACACCCTGATGGTAGGTGGAGCTTCAGTCTGAATGTTTAAGAGCAGACACCCCCAGACGTCAGTTCCTTGCTCTGCCACACCCCTTCCTGGGAAGGTTTGTGTGCAGTTTGGATTCTCTAGTAGTAGTATCTTTATTTAAAGCCCCTCAAAACACTGAAGCCAGTTGATGGATGGAAGCTGTGACAGGGCAGTACACCCCTGTGCCCATGCTGACATGCACCACGTTGTCCCCCGCAGGCATCGCCGCATGGAAGCTGTGCGTCTGCGCAAGGAGAACCAGATCTACAGCGCAGATGAGAAGAGAGCTCTGGCTTCCTTCAACCAGGAGGAGAGGAGGAAACGAGAGAATAAGATCCTTGCAAGCTTTCGAGAGATGGTCTACAGAAAGACTAAGGGCAAAGAGGAAAAATAGTTCCTTATTTGAACTGTACAGCACAGACTGTACCACGCAGCAGCTAACTCATCCCAGGCATGATTTGAACAAAGCTGCAGGTGCTGCAGCACCTGTTACCCAGCAGGGCCAAGCCTCAGGAGTGGATTACTTGTGTCAAGGAAACAGAGTTACTTTCATCAGGTTTTCTGGGATGATTTGCTCACCATCTACGAGGAATCCCTTTAAAGTGAAAGGCTACAAGGCAGGGAAGGCAGGAACAGGCAGGGAAGATGAGAGGTGTCAATGTTCTGTGCTCGCTTTCAATCAGACAGGCAGGAGGGTCCCATGGGAGAACTTTATTACCTGTTACAATAAGTGTGATTTTTCTTATCCATTTGTTTTGATTAATAATAGTCATTTGGCTTGGAAGAGACATTTAACAAGCCACTGGTAACAGCAGCAAAAACGAAGGTGTTCCTGAGCTCCTGTTTAAGATCCAAGACTGTCCATTTAGGTACTTTTTCATACATCTTTTCAATTTAGCTTTTTTCTCAAAACAGTTGAGTTTGGTTTGTGGTTCAAACTAGACTTGTAAATACTTTGTAAATGAGTTTGTAATTTAATACAGATATGGGCTTCAGTTACTTTAGAGCAAGCAAGATTGCAACTGGGGTGTGTGAAGTAACAGTAACAGGAGGGTCTGATCTTCAATCCCCTGGAACCTGTGATGAAGAACTTGCTTGCTTCTTTTTCTCCTATGTTATACATAGGCATCAGAGCAGTGGGGTGCAGTGATTGGAACCCCTGGATGTACAAAGGTGGTGACAACCATGTACCTTTCAATTTATTTGAAATGTTTTTGTCTATGAAAGTGTTCTAGAATAAAACCTTATTTTAACTCCTGTAGTATTTTAATTTGGTCTGTTTCAGCAGTATTGCATGGCTTGCTTTAAACTCTGTACTCAGAGGCCTGCTCAGGCAGTGCTTAGGTGGTGTTTATCTTTGATTCAGCTGTGTATTTCCAAACATAGCCCTCTTGAACCTCTTTTTCTCAAATGTTTTTAAAAACAAAATGGTTTTGAGTGGAGGTTTTTTTGTTCCCTTAAAGTCTTCATTACTATTTTTTTGTTTCCCTGAATTTGGCAGCAGAGATGTCTTGTGTATTTGTATAAAGAAAATAAAAGCCCTAAAGTCCTCTAATATTTTCCCAGGAGTTCTGCAGACCTTGTGGTTGCAACCAGCAAGTCCCACCCAGTTTTCCCATTTATGCTCTGGAACCTGGTTCCATCCAGCTCTACCCACTCACACCTGCCAGGGACTGTCACCTATAGCCAGCTGCCACATCAGGCTGTGGTTGGGTTTGCAAATGTTTAATGTACCCACTGAGCAGAAATACTGCTAAGGAAGAGCCATTCTTTCTTCACTGTCTTTATTTGAATCTCCACAACAGAGCATTGATGATGGTGAATTGCAGCTGCTCATAGGGAACATAATCTTTCAAAGAGCTTTTTTTTATTTTCAATGATTTCCTTAAGCCACTCTACTCTAAAGTGACACTCTTCTGGCCTGGAGAATGGAAGAAAAAGAGGATAAATCGTAAAAATGATATTGAATCCAAGTTTGGCCAGGTGAGAGCTGGCCTTTATTCACTGGGCAAGCCTATCTGCTGCAATGATGACCACTTCCTAGACCTATGTAAGGCCAGGACAAATCCATTCTGGAAAAGGCAGATGCCCCTGGGGTGGCTAACCATGCTTGGTGGGGGAGTGAAGCTAATGATAAGCAGAGCCATCTGGTTTTACATAGCAAAATTTGTCACCTTCCTCCACCTCTGCTATTATTGCACACTTACACACATCAAGGTCCCTGTTTGTTTTTGTCATGGAGAAGCTTGCTAGAACCTCCTGAGTTGTCAGGGATCGAAGAGTACAAAATTTACCTGTAAATCAGCCTGTTGGACTCCAGTCTGAAAAAAACCTCCACAGGCAAGGTCTGCAAGAGAGCAGAGACAGGGCAGAGGTCATGTACTGGCCCTCAAGAAGCACACAGCGTAATTAGGTGAGACATACTGTCTACTTCTTCAAAACTAACCTGGATATTGGCACAACGTTTCTGATACAGACTAGAATAGTTTTGGTTTAAGGGCTCTGTGAGTATTCCCTTGCAAAGGCAGAGACTCATAATTTAAATCATGTGCTACGGTATAAGATTTCTGACCAGTGGCTATGAGCTGTTGTGCTGGCTTGGACTGGGATAGAGTTAACTTTCTTCACAGCAGCTGGAGTGGGGCTGGGGTTTGGATTTGTGCTGGAAACCAGTGTTGATAACCCAGGGATGTTTCTGTTACTGCTGAGCAGCACCTACACAGAGACAAGGCCTTTTCTGCTCCTCACTCCACCTCACCAGTTGGGAGACACAGCCAGGAGAGCAAACCCCAACTGACCCGAGGGATATCCTAGCTCATAGAGCATCGTGCTCAGCAGTAAAGCTGGCGGAGAGGTCAGGCTGGGGGGAAGGTGCTGCACAGGGACTGGCTGGGCATTGGTTAGTGGGTGGTGAGCAATTGTTTTTGTTTGCATCATATGTCTTTTTTCTTTTTCTGTTGATTTTTTCTTGCATTTTGTTACTATTATTTTATTTATTCTTTTTAATTATTAAATCTTTTCTTTTTTATACTTCCAATTCTGTCCCCTATCCCAATGGGGGTTGGGGAACAAGTGAGTGAGCAGCTATGTGGTGCTCTGTTTCCAGCTGGGGTTAAACCACCAACTGCTACTTGGAGATCCACAGTCGGTAAGTAGAAACACTAAGGTTCAGTATGACTAAGCTGGGAGGCAAGAAGTCTACTCAGTGCCATTTATTTCCTCTTTTCTCTTGAATTGCAAGACTTTATTACATAGGTGACAAACTTCAGGCCAATTAGGAAAGGGATTCTGAGACAGCTTAAAGAGCAGCAGGTCACTCCCTGTCTACTGACTCCTTATTCCATAACTCAGACTCACTTACAGGTGCCCAGAGCAATTTTAAGAGCAAGAAAGCAGAAGTGGGATCCTGCCAGATTCTGTTTGTTCAAAGTCTGTCAGTCTCCATGACTGGAGAACTAACCAAACTCCTGCCCTGCGCTCTCCTCCCCTTGCCAACTGACCGTGTGTTTCTGTTAGACCATGTTTACCTCTCCCTCTGTTGCTCTGGCAATGCCCAGGCCTTGTCAGCCTCTCCATGTGAGCTGCCAGCTCCTGGCTGTTCTCTCCACTGCCCTGGCATTTCCCTCCCTCAGGAACCCCACTGTACTCCTCTTCCTTAAAGGATTAGTGTGCCATTTCTGAGTACTTACAGCAGGTTTGCGTTTGGAGATCACTATAACAAAGAAGACACTTGCTGTTGCCCGTGGACAGGGTTTTCTGCGTGTTGGGATGCCCCAGCAAGCTCTGTAGTGGTACCTTTTGCTGTCCTCCAGTTCTTCTTCCTTGAGAAATTCTGAAGAGTGAAGCCAGCATTCCCCAATGTCCCATGTCTGTGGAACAAGTGCATCACACTAAGACTCCCTGTGTCTAGTAGAGGTGACTTGAGGGAGGTGCTAAAAAGGAACACAGGTGCTCCCCTTTAATTTTTCTCACTTCTCAACCATGAGAAGGTGTGGCCTTCCTGAATGGGTGGAATTGTCACTCACAGAAATGAGTTCTTCAATCTGCTGTAGTCCTCTCTCCTCTGTGAAGTCATTGGCTGTGACCCACTGGATTTTTTTGATGACATTCTTGGTTTCTAAAACAGAAAAAATGCTGACAAATCCTTCTGGAAAGCCACTGGCACATGCCAATAGACCAAACACAATACCTTTCTCTTTATTCTCCGACTCTGGAAGATGTCCCTCTGCACCATTTCCTTCATTTTCTGTGAGAACATGATCTTTTTCTTCACTGGCAGCTTTTTCCTCTTCCTTCTCCATTGTCTTCACCTTTAGAGGGAGAAACGCACAAACACAGAGAGTCAGTCGTGTAAAAGGTTGCATATGAGTTTGTT